CAGGGAAAAACCATTAGTTGATTATTCTTAAGAAATAGCTATCAAAAAACGAGGGAGAGGAATGATCTCACATATCTTACAGAGGAGGGAACGAGCACAGAGATTCTAATTCCAAGTGAAATGGTGACATTTCAAGAGAAGAATAATATTGGCAGGCCATGCTGATTCTCTGGAAGTTGTTGGGCAAGTTTAAAAAGTAACTGGAAAGTTTATCACAGTCTCCTTGACAGGCACCAGGAGAAAGAATCTCAGACAATGAAGGCAGATTTCTGGCTCCTTATCAAGGTGCTGACCTGTCTTTCCCAGGAACAAAGGTAGCTGAGAGGCAGTATAAATAGGGGCATATTGACAGTGGAAACTTATTTTATAGCGCAGAGAGACTATATAAACCAATGTAAGATGAACCATTAGATTCTGTATGTGTCATTAGAGAAAGTTGTGGAATTCTATAAATATTGAAAAACAGAAATGGTGTGGAGATTACCCTTTGCAAACAGTTTCAAGAATGGACACACTGATGTTTTAAGATCTTCAACAACCTTGTGGGAATCAATGATGTTCAAAACGTATTTGCAAAGCTTTCATATTAGTTCGTAAACTAAGAGATTAATACATAGTTCTAGAGAATACTTAAAGCACTTTCATAACCGTGATTTCACTTTACCTCATAACCACCCTGTAAAGAGTTGTTATTCCTTATTTTATAGAGAAGGAAGTAGTGTGTGACAATTAAATATGTGGCTTTGAAGGTTATCACAGAGCAATAAATAGGAGACAGTACTATGTTCTGGTGGTGCAAACAAGGGCTGACGTTTTGAACCCTGGCTCTTAGTTTGGTGGTGGCTCTGTCTGTCCTGGCAGAATGGACTGGTGCCACAAATGAGGTTGGCACATGCCTTAGTATCCAAAACAAATCTGTCATGGTATTTATTTACAGTTAACATTTAAAATATTGATAGAGTCAAAAGGAAATAGCCCCTTATCTACATATTTCACTGTTGGAGTTAAATGCAAAACATCTTTTTATTCAAAGATTTGACTTCCTATTGAAAAACTCTGAAGAAAACTGGATGATTTTTACTATGTAGGAAATATTTTCAATCTGCACAAGTGTAAGCTACATTTTTGATGATTTTAATAATAGCTAATCTCATTTATAAACATCAAATCATTCATCTCAATAAATATTGTTACCATCACCAATGTGGCCAATTACTGTGTAAATAAAGGGGCAGTGAACATGCTGCGGCTCTTGTACATCCTCTCAAGGGCTCACCATTATCAATGTCGCCCCAGTAAAAGTGTGCAAACCCTAGAAGCCACTTCACCTTCCTAGGCCAGTTTATTATGTGCCAGATGAGGGTACTCAGTTAGATGATTGGGAAGGTTCCTTCTAATTCTTAGACTCTACGGTATAGAACAGGATACCTTCCCAATTTAAGAATACATGTCCACTGATGAGAACATCAAATGCTAGTACAGAAGATGAAACTAGAAACTAGTATCTGTATTCAGCAGAATCTTGAGAGTTATTTCTGAACTAGGAATGTGGTCTGCGGAGAGAGATGAAGACCGAATCCATTTAAGAGATGTTCACATGTATCTCACAGTCAAGATTCAGAATGCTGGCCCTTTCTATCTCCAACATATATACTCCACATTAGTCCTTCAAAAAGACCTATTTGGCAAGTGTTCTCCTGGTCATCTTGGTAACCATTCTGTGCTTAAGCAGATGAAGTTAGCCTCCAATGCTGAAACCCCTCAGTTGCTTACCACCTCCAAAATTCACTTTCATTTTAGGATTAAAGAAAACAAATACCTGACTCTTGGAAGAGACCAAGGGATCCAACTTGATGCTGGAAATCTGACCACAGGCATGGAAGAAAGGCCTATAGGAAGCAGGTTTAGAGTTTTCTGGCTTTGATTCAGTTTGTTATTTTCCTTAAAACTTAAAATCTCAGCCTAAGGGAGACTACAAAGCTCACTAAAACTTCAAGCAGCCTCAAGACCATGTAGTCCAGTAGACCTATATTCTTGGCTCTACTTAAAGGAAAAAGTGGAAACTACATAGGTGCCGATTATACGGGTTAACAGCAACCTCACTGTTCAGAAAGATTAAAGAGTTCAAATGAAGGGTATTTTCCTCCTCAGACAGGGAAACAAAATAAACACATCAAGTACTAACTGGCTTAGTGAAAATCCTTTGTTGAACAGGCAAACAATTATGAGATAAGAAATAAGAACAAACAACCAAATGCTTTGATGTTTTAAAAATACTCATTCGCCAAAACAGAAATAATAACAGCATGTTACCAAGCATCCAAAGAGAGAAACAAAAGAAGTCATAGCAATCTGGGAAGAAACAGAGAACGAAATTAAATTTAATATGATAATGAGTAAGAATGCATTTAGCAGAGTTCCTGGTTAGTCAGAGACAACTTCCTGGAAGTGGCAAATTGAGGTGCGTTTCTGGAATACAGAGGTTCTTCTTTTGCGTGTTGTATAGAAGCTAGTCTCCTGTTTCTGTAGATAGCATCTGAAAAGCCAGCCGGCCTATAAAGCACACTTACTTCCATCCCACACAAATCTAACTGCATGGGAATACATTTTATACTATATTAGTTGACTTCTTTCCTGGAATGAATTGTTTTAGTAGAAAAATTCAAATTGTCCCATGCAATATTTCTTTTAATTTCTTTTATTTATTTTATTTAGAAGGAAGGATGGAAGAGAGAGAGCGAAGGAGGAAAAAAGAGAGGAAGGGAGGGAGGAAGGAAGGGAGAGAGAGAGAGAGAGAGAGACATTGATGTGAGACACACTGATTAGCTGCCCCTCCCCGGCCCTCACCCTGACTGGGGATTGAACCTGCAAGCCAGGCATGTGCCCTGACCAGGAAACAAACCCGCCACCCTTTTGTATATGAGACAATGCTCCAACCAACTGAGCCACGCTGGCCAGGGCTGCATATGTCTTCTCAAAAGGTTTGCTGTGAAATTTAATTATTGTCAGGATCACATTGTTTTCTCATAAAAACACAATTACAATGGATTTAAAAGGTGAAAAACGTTGATTATGATTTTCATTCATGATTCAACTCAGTGGGAAAATCTTTCATTAACAGAAAACTGCACTCAGACTTTTGCCATTTTTTCCCTGTAAGGCACAGCTGATTTCATAATCACAGTGTTACCTGAGATATGAACCAGGGGATGAACCCAACTGTATAATTTAAGAATGAAGAGTTGCTGATAATATCATTTAATATTACCAACTTTTCAAAAACAGTTCCTCAAACCCTCTTAGATTTAAATTTCACAACATCCTGGTGAGTCATGTGGACTCAGATATTATTAATCCTCTTTTATAGAAAAGAGAAAAAATGATCTAGAGAAGAAAGAAAACCTACCCACGCTCACATGGCAAATCAATAGCAGAGCCCTGGCCTGTGGTGTTCAGTGGTTAGAGTGTCAGCCCATGCATCAAAGGGTCATGGGTTTGATGCCTGGTCAAGGTCATGTACCGGGGTTGCAGATTTGATTCCTGGTCCCAGTCGGGTGGGATTGGGGTGAGTGCAGTAGGCAATCAATCAGTGTGTGTCTCTCACATTGATCTCTCTCTCTCTCTCTCTTTCCCCCTCCTTCTTTCCCTCCCTTCCACTCACCCTAAATATCAATGGAAAAGTATCCTCGGGTGAGGATTAAAATAAAATAAAAAATCAATAGCAGAACCAAGTTCTTTACTTTTGCTCAACACCATCTAGGCCAGTGATGGCGAACCTTTTGACCTCGGCGTGTCAGCATTTTGAAAAACCCTAACATAACTCTGGTGCTGTGTCACATATAGAAATTTTTTGATATTTGCAACCATAGTAAAACAAAGATTTATATTTTTGATATTTACTTTATATATTTAAATGCCATTTAACAAAGAAAAGTCAACCAAAAAAATGAGTTTGCCTGTCATCTCTGACACGCGTGTCATAGGTTCGTCATCACTGATGGGCTATTATCAAAACACTTAGGAGAAAAAAGAATGAACTACATACAAAAAAACATTTGTGCAGAGAAATAACAGCAGTGGTAGCAACAGAAGCAAGATGAGAGTAGCCATCATTTGCTGAGTGCCGACAGTGTGCCAGGCACAATGTTAAGCGTGATGTATATAAATATATATTCTTACTTAATAATTAGAATAATAATAGGAACAGATGCCATCTCATGTCATGGTTAGGGGACGGAGGCACAGGGTGGAAGAACTTTGACTTAGGTCACATAGCCAGTGCATGGCCTGGTTGTGATTCAACTTCACATCTATCTGATACTTGAGGATCTTAAACCTTTTCTCTGATGGGATGACTGGGAGCCTCAGATTTCAAGTCCTCAAATCTTTGCTCAGAAGGCACCTTTCTTAATGAGGACTACCCTAAGACTCTATTTAAAGCTGTAGCCTCATTGCCACCATGCCAAAGTCCATCCTTCTTAAATCATGGTTACGTGATCTAATTTTTGTTTTTAACATTGATTGTCAATATAAACTCTAACGAGCAAGAATCTTTGGGTGTATTTTTTCACCAACATATCCCAGATGCTTGGATAGTGCTAGCCAGTAGAACATTTTTTAATGACAGAAATGTTTTATACCTGTGCTATATGATAACCACTAGCCACGGAACAAAACTGAAAAGTGGCTAGTGCCACTGAAGGACTGAATTGTTTATTTTATCTAATTGTGTTAATTAAATTTAAATAGCCATATTTTTTCAATAGAATTAATGGCTAAAGAGCGTTCAGGTTAAATTAAGAAAATCACTTGAAAATTCAGGTGCTATGACTGAAATAGCAAGCACACATGCTCAAACGTTTGGCTCCTTTTTGTCATCTGTGACTTGAAATCTTGCAAAACTTTTTTTGAAAGCAGGGAAAGCAAACCAGCAGCACATAATGAATTCCCATGTATGTTATTGATATATGATTACAATGATTGTGATAATCGTGCAGTACCTTTTTGACCTTGTTTTTTTTCTCATAGGTCTCTGACAGTGGTTTTTTCTTCTGCTGAGTTGTGTCTTTGGAGAATAAATATTCAAATTCACTAGGATCCCGAATATCAGGTTCTTCTAAGGAGTCCCATAAGGTTGGTGTAGCACTTTGGCTTAAAAGAGAAAATGACAAGAGAAAAGAATAAACACAATCTCTAATTCATTTTTAACTCATTAAAAAAATAATAAAAGTTTACAACTGGATTTAAAAAAAGAAGTCAACAAACTGCAAGCACCTGTTACCACATGATCTCACTCATTCATGGATAATT